TCGCCCTCGCCGCGGAGTGGGCCCCCCCCCTCCCCCCCCCCCCCCCCACCCAAGCGAGCTCTGGACGCACGCCTCGGCACAGACGGTGCCACACTCGACCCATGGGCCGCACCTCTCCCAAACTCACGACCATGGCAGCCAGGTACACCACCTATCCACCCATTGGATTTGCATTCTCCAACTCGATGACTGCAGAGAGTACGAGGTCGACCAAGTTGAGCAACTGGACGAGGTGGCCAGAGGTGGTGTCGGACTCGTCGTCGATCGTCATGGCTGTCATTGTTCCGCCCATCCATGGCCAATGCCTACTCGCTGCGCTCGATCATCATCTTGGTCTCACTGCTCTATTTCCGGCATCGACTGGCTCTGTCGTCTCTCTCCGAACGGATGAGGATTGGGCCGATGCGCTCGGCCTGAGTGATGGCGATGATGATGAGAGTCAGCTGGTGTTGGACGCTGTGCTGGTGGTTGATGCCGAGGCGCTCAACGCGGTCATGCCTCATACGATCGGAGTTGCTCCGAGTCTGCTGCCGGATATGCTGGGCGACGAGGCTCGATTGCCGTGGTCGGTTCTCGCTGTCGCGCCCAAGCACGGCATCTCGGTGGCGGACTGGTCGGCAGAGGTGCTGCTGCCAGCGCTGGCGGAGCGGATGCCTCGACCGGGTGCGGTGCTTGCGCACTTTTCGCCTGCGGTGACAGGCCTGGACTACCCGGTGGCGATGGAGATGGCTGTGCCCGGAGCCAGCGCGGATTGCATGGGCCAGCTCTCGGTCTCGGCCCAGGTTGCGAGGCGGGTGCTCGCCCGCGAGAGCCAGGACCCGGGCGAGGTGGCGCGGCGGCGGGCGGCGCACGAGCTCTTAGGACTTCCGCTCACGTCGCGAATGTTTGATGTTGCACACGCGATGACGGCGTCAGGGAGCCCGCTTGTTGCGGGGCTCGACGACGGCGCAGGACCATCGGATGAGCTCCCGCGCGACGCGGACATCTCTCAGGTGCTTGTGGACGTCCACACCGGCGTCCGGGCACCTAAGGGCACTGAGGTTGCCTGTGTCGACGGATCGCTGGCTTACTTTCACTACGGGGTCGGGCGAGTCAACGACGCTGGGTGGGGCTGCGCCTATCGCTCGCTGCAGACGCTCGCATCCTGGCTTGTGCTCAACAGCTACACGCAAGCGCGAGTGCTCTCGATCCGTGAGATCCAGGAGGTGATTGTGGCGGCTGGCGGGCGCGAGGCCGAGTTCATCGGCTCGTCGCAGTGGATCGGCTCGATGGAAGTCGGCACAGTGCTGACAGCGCACTACGGAGTGGTGTACAAGATCTTGTCTGTGCCGTCGGGCGCGCATGTGCTGGACTACGTGGAGCCGCTGATGGCGCACTTTGCCCAGCATGGCTCGCCGGTCATGATCGGCGGCGGGGTGCTCGCGTACACATTGCTCGGAGTGGCGGTGCCAGCCAGTGGTGGCGAAGCCAAGTTCCTCATCCTTGACCCGCACTACTCGGGACAGGAGAATGCGGGCACTGTTCGCAAGAAGGGATGGGTGGGGTGGAAGGACGCGTCACTGTTCAAGGCCGACGCCTTTTACAACTTTTGCCTGCCGCAGACGCCGGCCAAGATCCCGACTTTCTGAGCAGCATGCGTACGGTGCGAGGCTCGAGCTCAGTTCTTTGCGGCGGTGAGCTTGGGTCGGACGCGGACCTTGCGCCGGACCTTTGCCCGCGTCTTGGGCGGCTTCGGCGGCGAGCCTGGCGGGAGCTCGGACGAGACCGAGTACGATGAGCAGGCGTAGGACTCGGACGACGAGGCGGCGCCGAGAAGCCCGAGATCTGACGAGCAGCTCGACGAGCGCGCGTGTGATGCAGGCGCGGTGTGGTCGTCGTCGGAGAGCGAGACGGTGTACGCCGACTCGGTAGCTGTGCCTGTTGCTGTGCCTGTGCCCGACGCCCTGCTCTGCGGCTTTGGGCGACGAACCGCAACGAGGCCGGGAGCGAGGCTGGAGGCCGAGACCTGGCGCGAGCGCTCCTTCCAGAACTCGGGCGAGCCAACCGGCGGCGAGCCGCTGGACTCGCTGCTCCTGTCGTCGACGTCGACATCTGCAGTAGACGCAGTCGACTTGAGGATGGAACGCAGGCTGTGGGAGTGGGAGTTGTGTGGCTTGGGTGTGAGCTCGTCGGCATCCACAAAGCGGACCCGGGCGGCACCGAATGGGACAGCAGGGAGCATGACCGTTTCTCTCGGCCCATCGTCCGACGACGACGACGACGATGATGACGACGACGACTCGACTCCGTCGTCCGACGAGGAGTCAGACCGCGAGTCCTTGGCCAGCTTGTCAAGGTCGAGATCACGGTATCCACCCTCGGCCGAATCCGGCAGCGCAGATGGGTCGAGGAGGCGATAAAGTTCCCACGAGAGGGTGTGCAGGGTAGGGTCGGCGTCGGCGTCGGCGCCGGCGGGCACTGGCGGGGGGGCGAGGATGCTGCCCAGGTCGAGCTCCGAGGCGTGCGCGTAATTGACAAGCGGAGTAAAGAGCGGTGGGAGCTCGGCGTGGCCTGAGCGGACGTAGGTGATGCGATCAACGAGGCTGGACATGCGGGCGTCCTTGGCGTAGAGGCCGTCGACCGTCTCACGGAGGACAGCATCGAGCGAGTTGGCGGTGGCATCGCGGCGTGTTGTCTTGAGATTGAGGGTAGTGCGGCGCGGCTTGGTCCTGGGCTTGTGGCGCGAGTCCCACGCCGACGAGTCCTCGGCTACAAAGCGGAGCACGTCGTGCACTGTTGCCAGCGAGTCGCTGACGTCGGTCAACGTCCGACGCGAGGCGGCGTAGGTTCCAAGCTCAGCCGTGATCTTGATGTCAGCGTCGAGGAGTCGCCGGGCGACAACAAGCTCGACCTTGCGCTCCAGCGTCGTGGGGCGCGAGGCGACAGCGGCGTCGACTATGTTGGCAGCGGCCTGGACGCCCGCCAGCGCCGACGCAAGGCCACGCAGCGAGGCAAGGGCATCGGTAGCATCGGCGGCATACTCGCGGGCGAGGCTCAGCTGGGCCGCGAGCGAGCAAGCCGCGACGTGCAACGGGTCCGAGTTTGCCGAGTGGTCATGCAGGAGGGCGTGGCGGAGGGCGTGGCGCTGGACACGGGCAGCAGCGAGGCGGGAGTCGAGCGATGTCGGCCGGATCGCAGCGTGGGCCGAGTGTGGAGCGCGTGGGTTGTTGGCGTATGGGGTGTGGGCCGAGTGTGGGGCGTGTGGGTTGACTGGCTGCTTGGTAGCGTGCACAGCGTATGGGGCGTGCGCAGGATGTAGGGCGTGTGGGTTCTTGGCGTGTGGAGCGTGCGGATTGACCGGCTTCTTGGTAGCATGTACAGCGTGTGGGGTGTGTGCAGCGTGTGGGGCGTGCGGGTTGTTGGCGTGTGGAGCGTGCGGGTTGATCGGCTGCTTGGTAGCGTGTGGGGCGTGTGGGGTGTGTGCAGCGTGTGGGGCGTGCGCAGCGTGTGGGGCGTGCGGGTTGTTGGTGTGTGGAGCGTGCGGGTTGATCGGCTGCTTGGTAGCGTGTGGGGCGTGTGGGGCGTGTGCAGCGTGTGGGGCGTGCGGGTTGATCGGCTGCTTGGTAGCGTGCACAGCGTGTGGGGCGTGTGGGGCGTGTGCAGAGGCTGAGAGGGGGGAAGTGCGGACTTTTGGGACTCTGCCACGACTGTTCCAGGCTCTCCAGCGATCCTGCGTGAGACAGCGCTGTCGAGTCCAAGACCGAGGAAGCCAGAGCAAGAACCGATGACACCGATGCCGTGACTGAAGTCGACGCAGAGGGTGATGAAGCCGAAACTGTCGTCGAAGCCGAAGACAAATCCAAGCCCGAGGTCGACGGACGTGGCAAAGCGTGCGCAGAGCTCTCTGGCAAGTGTGCCGCTGTCTGCAGCCCAAGATCATCCGTCCGTGACTCGGGGTGACCACGACCGGCGGAGCTGCGGTTGACCGCCATATTGTTCTTACTCTCCTGCTATGTCCAAGCCATACACAGATAAGTGCTCCATACCACATATGGTACACAAACTCGACTACCCCACTATCAAGTTTGTATCTCCATAATCTCCATAACCACCCCACTTCAGCCTCCCCCTCCCCACCCCCGTTACCCGCCACCCCACCGCCACCCCACCCCTAGCCCCACGACCATTCTATCACTTCCATCATGATCATCATGATCCCCCCCCCACCCCCTCTACCACATACCTTTACCCCTGCACCATACATAGACAGAAGCTCATTGGTGCCTCGTCTGCCTTTGCCACCGCTGTGCGACATGCTCGCAGTGGCTGGTGGCTGGTGCGAGTCAAGTGGTCGTCTCCAGTTGTTGGCTAATGGCGGGAAACGTCGCCGACCGGGGGGGACATGGCCGCGATCGGATCTCAGACGGAGATGAGGGGGGGGGATACATGCGAAGACAATGTTGAGCATGGTTGAGTGTTATGGTATGGGTGGGTTGATGAGCGGCTCGGATCAGGTGTGATGAGTACGGGCGGAGAGACCTGTGACGCTGAGGCAGGCAGGGGGGGGGGGAGAGGGGGCGCGGACATGGAGACTCGGTACCACCAATTAGCATCCCCGGAACGATGATCAAGTTGATAAGTGGGCGTGTGATGCAGGGATCGGACTGGGGCCATAAGCTGGGTACGGCCCGGGACGGATCCGGCCCTATTCTGGCGGGGTTTGCCGCGTGAGTGGTGACGACCGCAGATAGGGACGGCGGCAGCTCGATGGTCACAAGAGACAGGCAGACGAGAGCAGCGATACTTGTCGACAAAAGTCAGAGAGGATGGCGACGGAAGCAAGAGAAAGCACAAGTGCAAGTATGGGTTGCCCAAGCGGTGACAATGGCCAGAACCAGTCGTCCCAAGTCGCCCCGTCTGGCGGTGGTATGTCGCGTTCAGTCGCGACTTGGCTCGACTTTGCTGGCCTCACGGGCACAAAGTGCTTCCGCAACGCGTATCTGGTGGGCATCACCGCCGGCTTTTCTGCTGGCTCGTTTGCCTTTCTCAAGACATGTACGTACCGCGCTTGATGAGTAGTGAGCGAGGGGAGGAGGTGGAGGGGGACTACCTCGACTCACTCACATCGCCGGCACATTCTGTCGTCATCCCAGGGAACGGCCTCCGCGCCGGCAACTGGGCCATCGGCGCGTTTGCAGTCGGTACCATGGCTGCGTGGCACACTTGCTCCCATTTTCACAACGAACACGTCAAGAAGATGCATGCCCTTGCTGACCAGCTCAATCGCAAGCAGGCCGAGCTCAACGACAGATCGCCCGAGCCGCCCACAACAACACCGCCGTCATCGTGACCCATCACACGTCTTGGGCCATCATGCACACATGTACGCGTACACGCATGTATACGCTCACACGCTCACATGCACACGCACGCACGCACACACACGCACACACGCGCATCAGCTGAAGATCCTCGCCGACGGCAGACGTCGGGCTTGCAGCCGCTCAGTCCTCCCCCCCCCCCCCCTCCATTGTCGTCGACACGGCTAGAGATCGCATTAGAAAATGAACTCAGCCCAGATCTGGCCTCTGTTCCTTAACCGCCATGGAAGCACAGGGGCTGTCCCGAGCTCGATGATGAACTCGGGCTACGGCTTTCTTTGACAGCCAAACAGTTTCGCGAAACGGGCCGCAGCCGCTGCCAGCTCGGCGCACAGGCACGGCGACGGGGACAGGTGCGGACACGCGACTACCAACAACACCATGTTCAAGACCGTGCTTGTTCTCTGCGCTGTGTTTGCTCTTGCGCTTGCAGCAACGTACGTTTCCTTTCTGCTATCCCAGGACGTGTTGTGCGCTGTCGCAATGCCTTTGTATCGTTGCCTGTAGCCGAGGTGAGGGGCACGCGTTTTTTGGCTCGCCCTCCCAACCCTATCATATCCACGCGGAAGAATGGCTACAGCAACACGGTTCTCGCCCCCCCCCCCCCCCACTCACACAAACTGCCCCACATGAACATACTCTAGTCCGCCTTCCATTTCGGAAACCTTTGAGGCTGCTGTCACCAGTAAGTTCATCGCCACAGACGGCTTTCCCATCACCTTTGCCGTCTTTTTTCCCGCCCCTCCCCCCCTTTCCGTCAATACCTTTTGCTCTGCGGAAGTCGAGCGATTTCCTTTGGCATTGCTTTTTTTTTTTCTCTCACAAATCTACACGCTTTTCTTACTCATATTCCTTGACTTGCGCAGTCGAGGTGCACAAGGGCAACGAGCATGCGATCGGTGAGGGCCGTGTGGCGCAGGATCAGTCTGCCAACAAGGCTGTGCAGTTCTGGGAGTTTGAGAACCCGCAGCACAAGCACAACGACGTGTACGAGCTTGCGCGTTACGATCTCGGCTTTGACTACGCCATCGACTCGAACAACAAGACGATGTGCTACAAGAAGGCTGTGACCGGCTCGCTCCCAGGCTGGTTTGACTGGGTCTCCAAGGCGCAGTACGCTGGGCAGAAGCGTGTCCGTCACCTCATGATCGACTTTTGGACGTTTAAGGCGGCCAACATCGAGCTCGGCCTCGGCGTCCTCGCCCACGATCCCACCCACCCGTACCTGTTTGGCATGAACGACACGACGGCGCAGTCCGAGTTTGTCATGCTGTTCGAGAAGTGGGCGCCGACAACGCCCAAGGACCCGCGCGTCTTTGACGTCCCGCACCAGTGCATGTAATGTCCCCTCGCGCGACTTTCTTGACTTTGCCTCGAGGCGCGCGTGCGCCCGCACATAAACGGAGCCGTCGCCTCACCAACCGCTGTCAGCACTTGCGCTTCTTGATCAGCTTGCGCAGAATGGAGCGGTACTTGGCGAGCATCTTGCGGACCTTTTTCGAGTCGGTCATGTCGGCAAAGAGCGCCGGACGCGAATGCTTCTTGAAGAAGAGGAATCGCCAGTCCAGGATGAGCTGGCGCTGGTCTTCCAGCTTCTTCTCCAGCTCGAGCTCGGCCTTGGACTTTGACCGCTCCGGCGCGCCGTCGTCGTCGTCCGAATCTGGGAGTTCCGGCGGCGGGCGGAGGACTTCAAAGTCGGCGTCATCCGACGAGTCGACCAGCGTTGCCGGTGGTGCCAGGTCTGGCAGCTGGCTGTCATCGACCGTGGCCATCACGTCGTCCTCGGGGTTGTAGAAGCCGCGACGCTCACGCTTGCGGCGCTTCTTCTTCTTGCGGCGGCGAGCGGCGTCGGCGTCGGCGTCGGCGTCGGCGCTACCGCCGGATGGCCCGGCGACGGCGGCGTTGTCATCGCTCGCATCGAGAGCAACCAGCGGCAGGGTGCCTGCGGCAGCAGCAGGAGTGCTCGCAAGGTCCGCGGCTGCGATGGCGGCGGCGGTGGCAGCGTCGGCCTGTTCGCGAGAGGCGATGGCGGCGCGGCGCTCGGCCTCTGCAGCCTGGAAGGCGCGGCGTTCCTCCTCCTCCAGCTGAGTTGCCACAGCCTCCGAATCTGTGATGCCCTCGCGGATGCCGTCCCAATCGCGCTGGTTGCGGAACTCGTCAAACTCTTCCGCCTCCAACTGCTCGGCGAGAGCCGCGTCCGAGGTAACCTGATCCCGCACCAACCATAGCTGACGAACGGCCGAGGTGGCGGCCGTATCCAGGGTCATTGTGCGATACTCGGACATAGAGACGTCCGAGTCCGAGTCTGTCCCGGCATGCGAGTGTGTGGCCGATGACGATGACTCTTCCTCATCATCATCATCATCATCATCATCATCGTCATCGTCATTGACGTCATCGATATTGGCAGCAGAGCCTCGAGCACCACCATCGTGCACATCATTCGAAAGAGCAGAAGTAGGAAAGGGCAAAGGTGCGGCAGTGGGAAGACCATTGTTGTTCACCTCATCCTCTTCGTCATCAGAAGAGGTCGACAAGCCAGCCGTGTACGAGAGTACGGCAGCAGGCATGGATGAGGAAGGCTCTGTGGCGAGGTACACACCAGGCCTGTGCTCGGTAGTGGACGAGGTTGACGAAGAAGATTCAGACATTCTCCACACCTGGTGAGAACAATGGTGAGAGGTCTGTTTCTCTCACTGCTACGCTCTCGGTGTGTGACCCCCCCCCCCCCCTTGCCGGTCCTGTGCTGCTTTGGAACGCATGTGGGCAAACCTGTCGGTGACTTGGATTTTGATTGGGGTGATGAGGGAAAAGGGGGGGGGGGGGTTGGGTATAGTAGGGATTGATGTGGTTTGGGGGATGTGCGTGGTCATGGGGTCATGGAGGGGGGGGGGGGGAGGGGGGGGGGAGTCGGGGTATGTCTCGTGTACGATGTGTACGTCCCTGTGTGGGCCTCGGGCATCGAGATCAGATCGAAACCTCTATGTAGATTCGGTTGCGGAATCGAGTCCGATCCTTGCCACTGCAACGACCGGCAACCAGCCAACCATCCGTATCTAGTAACGGACAATGGATGGTGCTGGATAAGGGGTGTACAGGAGCGGGAGCATGCGGTTGGGGCTGTGGCAGGGCCAGCTGTGTGGCGTCGCGTGGCAGCAGCCGACAAATTGGGCAGTGAGGGGTTGGGTGCGGAGGGACTCACCTCACTCTGTGGATGCGCCGACTTGCACAGAGTGCTCTAATCTCTGCAAGGGTTGGTGTGAGCAGAACTATGGCATCCATCTCTCCTCCCCGTGACTATGATGTACGCAATCTATGTATTTCACATGTTACGGCCTGTGTCCTCACTCTCCCCTCTTCCCCCGCGAAGAGGGATCGATCCCCTCCCCCTCTTGGGCGACAGGCCCTCATCTGTCTACTGGCCATGGTTACAGGCATGGCGACGCGATCAGATCTATATATGTGAGCGTGCTAGATGAGTGGAGCGAGTTTCTTGGTGGTGTTGTGATCGATGATGTGAACGATGTGGTCTGTGGTAGCCGGCGTGATGGCGGTGGCGTTCATGGCGCCAATGGTAGGCTTACCCGTCTGGTCTGACGTGATGGGATCGTCAGAGCGATCTCGGGAGCTGTCTTGGCTGTGGCTTTCGCGCTCGCAATCATGACGGCAGGTAGTATGGGTGAGATCAACTCGACTCACGGCAGAGGCACACAGAATGCGCTCAAGGCGCTGCTCTCGCTGCAGTCAAACGTCAACATCCTCAAGACGATTGCGGCGATGGGCCCGAAGGAGCGGGCGGCCAAATACGCGCAGTCGCTGCCAGAGATGCATGAGTACAAGGCGCGGGCGGGGCTCGACGATAGCAAGCTGCGGACGATCGAGTTCATCCATGTGACAGGAACCAAGGGCAAGGGCTCGACAGCGGCGATGACGGAGCAGCTGCTGCGGTCGTCGGGCGTGCGGACCGGACTCTTCACCTCGCCGCATCTGCTCTCGCCGCGTGAGCGGATCCGAATCGACGGCAGGCCGGTGTCCGAGGACACTTTCTCCAACGCGTTTTGGGGCATGTGGGAGCGGCTCGAGAGCGGTGCGGCGGCGGCCGGACGCAGCTCGGAGCTCCCGCCGCATCCGATGTTCTTCCGCTACCTGACGCTCATGAGCTTGGCGGTGTTTGTGGAGCACGGCGTGGACGTAGCCATCATGGAGGTTGGCATCGGCGGGCGGTACGACTCGACCAATATCATTCCGCCGCCGGTGGCCGCCGGCATCACCCCGATTGGATACGACCACCTCGAGGTCCTCGGCACCTCGATCACAGACATTGCCTTCCAGAAGGCCGGCATTATCAAGCCCGGGACCGGCGCGGTCATCACGGCGCCACAGGACGACGGCGCGCTCGAGGTCATCCGTGCTGAGGCCGCCGCCGCCAGCGTGCCGCTGGTGGAGAGCCGTCCGCTGGTTGTGGAGGCGCCTGACAGCCTCGGCCTTCCGGGCGCGCACCAGACATGCAACGCGGCGGTGGCGCTGGGCCTGGCGCGGGCGTTTCTGGCAGCACAGGCGTCGGGACTGGCGAGTGCCGCCGAGGCTGCGGCTGGGGTGAGTGGCCAACTCCGGCTCGCTGCTTCCGATGAGGTGACCGAGGCGGAGGGGGCGGCGCTGCGGGCGGCCAAGTGGCGCGGGCGGTGCTCGCAGCACTCGATCTCGCCGAGTGTGGAGCTGTACATGGACGGGGCGCACACGTACGAGTCGATGCAGGCGTGCGTGCAGTGGTTCAACGAGCGGAGGCGGGCGGCGCCGGACCGCAAGACCGTCCTCATGTTCGCCTGCAAGTACTCGCGCGATCCGCTGTGGCTCATGCTTCCGCTGGTGGACGTTCACATGTCGACGCCGTTTGATCTGGTGGTCTTCTCGTCGACAACGGCGTATCCGCCGGGCGACGAGGCGCCGGCCTCGGTCAACGACTCGGATCCGGACGAGCAGCGCCGCGCGTATCGCCGCAAGCGGCGCGAAGCCTGGAAGGAGCGCCAGCTTGAGACCTGGTTCAAGCTGGCCTCGGGCGAGCCGCTCGAATGCGACGCCCCTTCTGGTGGCGCGGCGGTGCGGTCTGTGCCCAAGTCGGTCGCCGATGCTCTCGCTGCCGGCCGCCACCGCGCCACTCCGGACATCCGCGACGGCGACGCGCCGATGGTCCAGCTCGACTCGATCCAGGACTCACTGGACTTTGTCCGCAACATGACAGCACCAGGCGGGCCATGGGAGAACGATGGCGTCGACGTCCTTGTCTGCGGCTCGCTCTATCTTGTGGGTGGCGTCTTTGAGGTCCTCGGGTACGGCGTCGAGTAGCGACTCATTTAACTTGTGTGTGAGAGCCTTTGTCGCGGGTACATCGATCACCACCTCTGCCTCCCAGTCTCCACCTCGGCTCCCATCACGATCTTGACCCAGAACGCTCAGTTTGCTACGAAACGATTGTCATCATCACCAGCGCGGTCGGGTCGGTGGTCGTAGTAGTAGCGGCATGTTTGGAGCACAACGAACGAACGATTATTTTTAACTCTGTGACTCGAAACGGCAACGATAATTTGAAGGAGAAAGTTTGCATTACTGGCAGCAAGGCGAGGGAACGGTAGGTGCGGTCACCCGTCTCTCGCCCCCACCCAACCATGCTCGCTGCTCGTTCGCTCCTCACCCGCCCCGCAGCGGTGGCGACGGCCCTGTCGCGGGCTATGTCTGCCGCCTCGTCGGGACTCTGGATTGGCAAGGATACCAAGGTTATGTGCCAGGGTATGACTGGCAAGCAGGTATGTATCATATTCTCCATACCCATGACCTTCTTCCCCATGTAGTATGCTTGTCGCTCGCTGTCATGGCCATACCCCATGCCCCCCTCGCCCCAGCTGAGAGAACCATTTTTTTGGTCGATGGAGGTCGTTCGCGGCCCAGCCGCCGCGTCATAGCCACGTCCGCTGCTGCATGGCTAGCCAAGGGAGAAGAGAGTGAGAGACAGACAGAGAGGAGTATGGAGTTTGTTGTTCAGTATGTGTTACTCATGGTGTGTATGTGTGTCTCTGTGTGTAGGGTACCTTCCACACTGAACAGGCCATTGCCTACGGCACCAACATGGTGGCGGGGATTTCCCCCTCCAAGGCCGGCACCACCCACCTCGGTGTCCCCGTCTTTGCCACCGTTGAGGAGGTACGTATCCATGTCCCGCTACTCCCAGCCATCCATGCTGGTATCCATGCCGGTATCCATGCCGGCATCCATGCTGGTATCCATGCCGGTATCCATGCCGGTATCGAATGATGTGCATGCCCCCCCCCCTCCCCCCACCCCCCACCCCCCTCCCCCACCCTCCCTTGGACATGATGCATATGATGCTTGATGATAGACTTCTGAAGTGGTGCGTTGTACCCATTCTTCGATGACAACCCATCTTTCCTGATGCACATGTCCATGGTGCCCCCCCCCCCCACCTTCCCACCTACTTTTCGAGGTGCGCAAAGTCAACCCAATTGTCCATCTGGCCGTCTGCTTGTCCGTCTGCTCGTCTGTCCGTCTGTCCGTCTGTTCGTCTGTCCGTCTGTTCGTCTGTCCGTCCCCCCACAACACAACTGCCCCCGCTTTGTGCAGTGGCGGGCAGCGGGCAGTGTCAGGCGGTAGCTCGCCATCGCAGTATTGGTGACGTTCGTAGTGACGGCGGTGGTTGGCGGTGGTGGGTGACACGCGGTCAACGTTTGCGATGTGGTGTTCCACTGGTACTAACTAACTCTCTTCTCCGAATGACACAGGCCAAGAACGAGACTGGCGCTGACGCGTCGGTCATCTACGTTCCGCCGCCGTTTGCGGCCGCGGCGATCATGGAGGCGCTCGAGGCTGAGGTCCCGCTCGTGGTGTGCATCACCGAGGGCATTCCCCAGCAGGACATGGTCCGCGTCAAGGCGGCGCTCATGTCGCAGGACAAGACGCGTCTGATCGGCCCGAACTGCCCGGGCATCATCAAGCCCGACGAGTGCAAGATCGGCATCATGCCGGGCCACATCCACTCGGCCGGCCGCATCGGTGTCGTGTCGCGCTCCGGCACCCTGACGTACGAGGCTGTGGCGCAGACGACGGCTGTCGGCCTGGGCCAGTCGATCTGCGTCGGCATTGGCGGTGACCCGTTCAACGGCACCAACTTTATCGACTGCCTCGAGATGTTCAACAACGACCCGTCGACCGAGGGCATCATCCTCATCGGTGAGATCGGCGGCGTGGCCGAGGAGGAGGCCGCGGCGTACATCAAGGAGCAGAACATCACCAAGCCCATTGTCTCGTTCATTGCCGGTGTCACTGCCCCGCCCGGCCGTCGCATGGGTCATGCTGGTGCCATCATCTCGGGCGGCAAGGGCGGCGCCGAGTCCAAGATCGCGGCTCTCGAGGATGCCGGTGCTGTCGTCACCCGCTCCCCGGCTGTCCTCGGCAAGACCATGCACCAGGTCTTCAAGGAGCGTCTCCTGCTCTGAGCATCCCGCTCCCCCCCCCCACCACCACCAAACCCCTACAGATCCTGCTTCCAACCACCAGCATGTACTCGAGATGGCTTCATGAGCTCAATGCAATGCGCCCGCAGCTTGTTCGTCTAGGAGGAGAGCGAGAAACGCTGCTTGAGGGCGGCCCAGAGCATGGCCCTCTCATGGGCGACGTTGGACATCATGCCCGAGTTCTCCTGGGCGCGGCGGATGAGGTAGGGCATGACCTCGTCGATGGGCCCATAGGGAACGTACTTGAAGGCACGGTAGCCCTTGGAGCCGAGGGTAAAGGTGATGTAGTCGGCCATGCCCAGGAGCTGGCCAAAGTAGACGCCAGAGTCCTTGGCAATGTTGCGCTCGGCCATGCCAGCCACAGTGGCGGCCACCGAGGCTTCGTTGTGAGAGGCGACCATGACATTCGAGTGATCCATGTTGTCGAGGATGAGCTCGACGCAGGCGTCGTAGTTGGCATGTGTGGCGTCGATGTTGGGCAAGATGGGATCCTCGATGCCGAGCTCTTCAGCGCGGGCACGCTCCTGGACCATGTACGCGCCGCGAACCATTTTGCCGGCGAACCAGAAGCCCTCCCGCTGTGAGCGCTCGAGGTCGTTGGTCACCTTGCGTTGAGTCTTCTTGAGGTAGCATTGGTATGTGTTGAAGATGGAGGGAAAGTCGATGTTGTGGCGGCGCTGGAGCTCGAGGGTAAAGTGGTCGATGGCCGGCTGCAGGTACGTCTGCTCGGCGTCGATCATGAGGCGGACGCGGGCGGCGGCGGCGGCCTTGGCCACGGTCTCGAGCCGGCGGACCATGTTGTCCATGAGGGCCGTCTCGCGTTCGTCGAGCAGCGGGAGGACGCCCGACTTGGCAAACTGGTCCTTGGCCGTCAGGTAGGCTGCGGAACGGGTGGTCAGGTCGTTGAGGCGCAGGGCGTAGGTCCACTCGATGTAGTCGAGCTTGTCGTCCTTGGAAAAGTCGATCTCGTCAAAGAGCTCTGCGGCCTGGCTCTCCGAGAGCTGGACACCGACGTCACGGAGCGAGAGCTGGAACGAGTCTGGCGAGACCGAGCCGTCGGGCTCGCCCGAGGGCAGAGCAAAACGGTCGTGCCAGAGGTCGCGGATGGCGATGAGCAGCGAGCTCATGCGCTCGAGGAGGACGGGCTTGCCCAGCGCCGTCAACTTGACGGCAACGAGGCCCTCGCCGGCGGCAGCGTCCTCGATGGCCTGCAGAAACATGTCGGCATTGGCGTCGCACTCGGCCTCACCGGCGTAGTCGTATGTCCGCGCCGAGACGACGCCGCGACGGGCCTCGCGACGGACCACCACGTCGATGTCCTCCTCGGCGGCTACCTCTTCCAGATCCTCCAGCTCGTTCTCGGCGGCGTAGTCAAGAATGGAGCCGACGCCCGCCTTCTTCAGCCGCATGACGACCGGCTGGATGTCGGCGCCGGTCTCGCCGGCGCAAAAGTGGGCAAAGAACGTCGAGCGCATGACGGCTTCGGTCAGGGACTTGCCAAAGATCTTGTTGGAGAGGGCGAGCAGATCCTCCGACTTTGCGACAATGGTCTCTGAGGAGCAGAGCGTAAAAACGGCGAGCGCTCGGAGCAAATGCCACGTACTCTGCTTGCCGTACGCCAACTTGACGTCGTCGAATCGCAGCTCTTCGGCGACAGCCGGCGACGCCGGCGGCGGCAGGAGCGGCTCCACCGAGGTATCGTACGATCCAAGCGACGGCAGCGGCTTCTTCTTCCCGATCTTGGACATCACCCGTCGTCTTCCGTCCTTGCCTAGCTTCCGAGCCGACGAACTGGCGCTCCGTCGTGCTCCTGACGGCCGCTCAAACTTTGCTGCAAATAGTCCGAAAATGCCAGGCGCAGTCACGCCCTCGTTGGTCGCACCCGCACCGGCTACGTAGCGGGCGCTAGCACGCGCTAAGTTGCCAGACAAAGCGCCAACGCGGAACATAGCAAAGTGTGCACAAACTCCCACACACAGGTGCCAAAAAGTGAGGTGTGTTCCGCTGTGCTGAGCCGTGTGGCCCTCGTCAGAGTCCCCTGGTGCCAGCTCACGACAGCACTCGGTCACTCGGTGACTGGCAGCAGTTTGGGCAGGTTGCGGCAATCATTTTTTTCCCACTTTTTTTTTTTTGCGCAGTGGCAAGGGTGGGGGGGTGACGGCATGTGTGGACAGCGAGTCACTCTGCGTCTACGGGATCGGCGTCAACGAGGCGGGAGTGGCGCGATGCGGTCAATGATAGCGGGTGGCAAGGCCAAGACAAACGTCAACGCGGCCGGCGAGGCAGGGCGATGCGAAGCATATGCAGCCGGTGACGGGAGTGAGCAAGGCTACAACGGCGGGAGAGCAGATGCAGTCGATGCTGGAGCGACGCAGGGCACGGCAGATGCTTGATGGTGGCAGGTCGGCATTGCGGCGACCACAGTCAGGATGAGAGCAGGGCTCAAGAAGAAGGGCTGGCATCTGATGAGGAGGACGTAAGCTGGGGTGAGCTTGTAGAGCTTGATGCACCTTCTGGTGATGATGTGCCGCGGGCACGCTCCATGTCCTTGATCACCTTGGCTGGCAAATGTAGCTCCTTGTAGCGATCGAGGACCTCTGCCCGCTCTTCAGCCTTTTTCTTGATGATGGGTTCGTCTGGGTATGTACCGAGGCATGGCCACGAGTGATGAGTGCGTGTGTTGTGGCGGGGATTGGAGGGGGGATGGGGGGGATGGCTTTGGGTTGTGGTGGCGATGGGGAGCACGATAATGAGGAAGATGATGGTGATGATGGCGACGACGACGATGATAGCCATGACTGCTGGGTCACCACGAGCACCTCCCGTTACCGATCACGCCCGGCATCTCCAGCAGGACCCATGGCTATGGACCATGGCCCATCGACTGGCGGTCACATCTCGGACAGAGGAAGAGGAAGGGTTACGGGCATACGCTTCACCTCGTCGGCAACAGCAGACGTACATAGATTGGCCTTGATAAACACAAACTCCATTGCTGCTCCAAGAGCAAAGCCCACGCCACAGGGGAGCAGGTACCGAGACATGCTGCGCAGATGAGTGGGACGGGATGCGGGCGAGTTGAGGCGAGTTGAGGCGAGTTGAGGCGAGTTGAGTCGGCGGGCGGTGGACGGTGACGGGCGACGGGCGGTGGAACGGCGGGCGGTGGGCGGTGGGCGGCGGGGCTTGAACGGTGTCGGCAGAGAGGACGACGATGGATGGAGTCGATAGTGAGATGGGAGTGGTAAAGGGAAAGATAGCGCAAGGAGAAAGGATGCTAGCGGGATGGATTGGTCCGGAGAGACCAGTTACGTGCGCCGGGATGGGGTATTGGTGCGGTGGGGTGTCATCTCCGGTGGAATTGGTTTGTCAACGTGTCGTCGTTTGGTTGCAAAGAATGGTCGTGATTGATTGTATTGATTGGCGTGCCCAGTTTGCGTCTGCGCAGACGACGGACCTCTCAGTGTTGACTCGACAGCCACATGGCATGGGGGTAACGTGACCGGGACAGGCTCAAACTGCCAACCTCCACTCACCAAGGCAATACGAGCCCGACGATGACCGCTCTACCCTATAACCCCGATAGCCAACCGAATCCCCGATCCCCGCACCAACCGACCGGTTCCCCAATCCCCGCACCAACCGACCGCCGCCGCCGTCAAACTCGCGTGACAGCCGAGACAGACTCAAACTGCCAGCCACCACTCGCCCGAGCTTGACGAGGCCAACGAGGCCAACGAGGTCGCCGACGACCACTCGACGCCCACGGCTCTAGCAAGACGACACTCGCTCCATAGGAGACTATGCATGGGCAGGCAGGGACTGTGTGGGGAGTCTCCCGAACTCGACTCGCCCACATCTCCCTCGTCGTCGTCTACGTCATCTTTGGTGTGTGGAATGTGGTGGCATCGTTGGCCCTCGAACCGTCATCATCAGCATCATCAACATCTTCATCAATATCATCAACATCAGCAAGCACGTCGCCATCACCCTCGCCACTGCTACCATCGCCACCATCACCATCATTGTCATCATCATGGTCACCCCACCACCATCACCATCATCACCATCTTCATCATCCTTGTTGTCACCATCATCGCCTCATCTCTCGCCGGCTCTCTTTGCTACCTATCGGGACGTGGGCGCGGCGGGAGCCATGATTCTGGCTGCGATGGTGGTGAGCAAGGGCAAGGTGCTGCTACCGTCGTCGGATCATGTGCCGTTGATCTTGCTCACGGGATCGGTGGGAACCTTTGCGTCGCAGCTCTTGTTTACCTTTGGTCTCTCGCTCTCGAACCCGCTGCACGCAGCTGTGCTGCAGCCGCTGACGCCCGTCGTTATGGCGCTTGTCATCAGCTTAACATCGCGGACCGGGTGTAACGCCTCCAAGACGCAGGTGTATGCGCTTGCGGCTGCCTGCATCGGCGCGCTGTGCGTCGTGCTGGCCGAGTCGCCCGAGCCTGGCGGCGAGGCTGCCGAGGGGAACGGGTCGCAACTTGTGGGCTCGGCGCTGCTGCTGCTCGCCATTGCGGCCTTCTGTCTCTACTTGGTGCTTCAGGGCCAGCTTGTGCGACTCCAGCTGTACCCGTCGGCGTGGATTACGGCGTGGGTGTATGTGGTGGGCGCGAGCGAGATGGTGATTTTTGCGCTGTGGTATGACCACATCTCGATCGGCGAGCTCGCCGGCGTGCCGATGCTTCTCTCGCGCGTCCAGCTCTGGGCGCTGGGGTACGGAGTGCTGCTCGCGACGGCGCTCAACTACAATCTGCTCTCGTGGGCTACAGGGGTGCTTGGCTCGCAGACGGTGGCGCTGTACAACTCGATCACGCCGCTGGCGGCGGCGGTGTTCTCGCCGGCGCCGATCTTGCCGATGCAGGTTGTGGGCGGGGCGCTCATTGTGGCTGGCCTCTTTCTCAACTCGGCGGCGCAGCAGGAGCACGCCCAGCGACTGGCCAAGCTCAAGCTGCGGTACGACAAGCCGCGGCGGGTTATGCAGGTGTAGTGTGGCTGTGCGCCAGCCGAGCGACTGGTTTACTTCAAGGAGGTGCGCGCGGGAGTAAAGCGGTAGTAGGCGCGCTACTGCGGAAAGGCGGCACGCATCTGAGCCGAGACGTTGGCGGCGTTGCTGGCCTGGGTCATCATGGCATCGATGGTGCGGAGGATGAGCTGGAAGTCCGGGCGATTGTCCGGCTCCTCGGCCCAGCACGCCTCCATGAGGGCGTGCCAGGCCTGCGGGGTCTTGGCCGGGACCTCGGGGCGGAGGCCTTCCTGGACGACCTTGCGGGCGACGACCATGGGCGACATGCCCTTGTAGGGCTGACGGCGGGTGAGGATTTCCCAGAGGAGGATACCAAAGGCGTAGACGTCAGCCTTGTGGTTGTAGTTCTCCTTGAGGAGCACCTCCTTGGCCATGTACTGCGGAGTGCCGAGACGGGTCTGGTGCATCTGCTCACCCTGGACGACGACGGAGAGGCCAAAGTCGGCGATCTTTGCCGACCAGTCACGCTCGACGAGGACGTTGAGCGACTTGAGGTCACGGTGGATGATGTTCTTGGCGTGGAGGTAGGCCATGCCGCCGGCTGAGTTGTGGGCGACCTTGAGCTTCTGCTCCCAGGAGAGGGAGCGCGACTTGTCGTGGAGGGCGTGGAAGAGCGAGCCGCCCTCGACGTACTCGGTGACGATGCAGAGCGGGGTCGACGGCTTGGTACACGCGCCCATAAAGAGGAGAACGTGCGGATGGCGGAGCGAGGCGAGGATGTCGACCTCGGCCTGGAACATGGCACGCTGCTTGTCGGTCATGGCGCGGACCGAGAACTGCTTGACGGCGACGGTCGAGCCGTTCCAGCCGCCGACGTACACCATGCCGTACGAGCCCTTGCCGATGGTCTGGCGGAACTCGAGGGTGGAAAAGTCGATTTCCCAGGCCGACTTTGCGGCGCCTGCGGCGGCGACCGAGGCTGCAGATGTTGAGCGCGCCGGGAGTGGCGGGCCCGACGACGACGAAGCAGCGCCCGAGGCGCTGGCGTTGACGTCGCGGCGGAACTGCTTGGCGCGGTCGACGAGGTACCGGCCGAGCTTGTCGTTTTTGTTCTTGTTGCAGTTGTCGATGGCGGTCTCGCCCATGGCGTTGCGGATGTGTGGGTCGGCACCGGCCTTGATCAGCGCGCGACAGGCCGAGAGCCGCGAGGCGGCGGTGGCGTAGTGGAGCGCGGTGTTGCCGGCGGCGTTGACGACGCCGTGGTCGACGCCAGCGGTGAGGAGGGTGGCCACTAGGTCGCCGTGGCCCTGGGCGGCGGCGATGTGCAGGACGGTGGAGCCCATGCGGTTCGGCGCCGCGAGTGCGGCGCCACGCTCCTGCAGATACAGCAGGACCTCGCCGCGATCGGCGTAGGCGGCGAGGTGGGCGGCCTTGACGCCGTCACCGTTGGACTCGTCGAGCTTGGCACTAGCCTCGGCGAGGACACGGAGCACGGCGAGGTGTCCAAGCTTGGCCGCGTAGTGGACAGCGGTGCAGCCTTCGGCGTCGCGGGCGTCGACCTCGGCGCCGGCCTTGATGAGGACACGCACAGACTCGGTCTGGCCCTCGGCGGCGGCCTCGATGAGCGGAGTCGAGTGCTTGATGGTGAACAAGTTGACGTCAACGCCCGACTCGATGAGCATCTTGACAATCTCGGGCTCCTTGAGCGCGGCAATGTGCAGCGGGGCGGTGCCCTGCCCATCGCGAGCGCTGGTGTCGGCGCCGGCCTCCAGCAGGGCGCGGGCGCAAAAGACGTCGCCGGCGACGCAGGCCCAGTGCAGTGGCGTAAGGGTGCGGGAGCAGGGCAGGTCCATCTCGCACCCGATGGCCACAAGATCTGCCACAAGCGACGCGTGCGACTTGTTCACGGCCCAGTGCAGAGCCGAGAAGCCCGACTCCTTGTCGACGGCGCCGACGTTGAGCTTGGCCGAAGGCTCGTCACCCGCGGCCTCGATGAGGGTGGCGACAACCTCGGCATGGCCCTTGCACGCCGCCCACATCAGCGGAGTGAACCCGTACGTGTCCTGCGCCCCGAACTCGACACCGTCGATGCCAAGAGTGGCCTTGACAATGTCACGGTTGTCGCGACGTGCTGCCCAGTGCAGTGCGGACATGTCTGTGCGCCATGATTAGCGGATTGGTGAGGCCGATGCAACCAGTTGTGGGGGCAATCAGCGCATAGAGAGCGGTGATTTTTTTCGTACGGCAGGGTGTTGTCCATTACATTTGCCGTAACGGGGAAGAGAAGAGGAGCAGGAGCACCAACATTTGCAGCGAGCCCGAGCAAAATACGAGAGCGGACGAGAGCGACGACCACCGCGGCAGGCATTGCCATTGCCACCCGTAGAGAGCCAGGGAGAGGGACATTGCATCCAGTATTGATTTTT